GATAAATATGTAAATTGTTTGCATGGAAATCGACTTGATTCTGAACGTACACATGGGCCTATAGATGAGCTGCAATATATGTTTTATATTGTGGAGATTAAATGCTTGTTAACACAATTTCCACAATAGGATCTTAATATATATTATAATGCTACTATTATTACAATTTAATGTATTTATTCATTAGTTAATAATTTAATATACATTTTTTAGAAATCGCAAATCAATCGAAAGTTATTGCAATATAAAAATGTCTCACTATGTGAAGCTATCTTCGATAGAAAATGAGTTGAACAGATATAAAGATAAACCTGAAAGAAAACAGCTTTTGGAAGAAATTTGTACTTTCATAGCACAACGTATTCAACCTCGAAAAGATGTATGTTACACGAATGTAAGTGCATCATTGGATACAATCGCACAAGAGGTACTGAATTCTCTTAGAAAAAAGCATCTGAACCATTCAATATTCTCCACGTCTGATGAAACTTTTTCTTATTGAAAAACCAACAATATCGAAGATAATCATTGGAATGAAACAGAAAGTACGCACATTATGGATACACTTCAGGAATATATATTTGGCACTTTGAACTTTCGAGTATGTATCTACGTACCCGAAGATAACAAATGTTTGTGTATAGATTATTTAAGTTATTATAGATTATAATATATATAATTATGGGCCATATATGTATACGTTATATGTTGTTTTTAATATTCTCTCGCTTTGATTAATTTGTCCTGTATTATATCTGGCACAGGTTTTACAAAATAAAGTTGGTCAAGATATCATTGTATATACAATATTTAATAGCGTGGCTAGAAGACTTGGTCTACGTTGCGATGTACTAGATATTGAAAATAAATTCTCTATAATTTGGAAATCAAAATTGTAAGTATAGATATATATTTAAAATCGACATTATCATTATTTCTCGATAATCTTGTTTTTTTTATTATACGCATACATATATAATTTTTTATTATAAAAATTTTCATATGATTAAGGTAATATTTTAATTGTTTACAGCGTCACAAATAATCTAAAAAATGCACGATGTTTTTGCATAAAAAACCAAAAATACCCGAATTGTCTTCGTGATTTTTTACCACGTTACAAGTGCTTTGAAACACGTCACGTCACCGCAATAAGAACTTGGGACAGGTTAAAACTTATTTATTACTTCTATTAATCTTAAGTTATTAATATGCTTGTAAATTGAGAAGCAATTAATAAATTACATTATATGTGTATAGAAAGAAAAGAAATGTACATCTCTCATTTTTTAATTTATAATTAGATCTTTGTATACATTTAATCTTTATTCATGTTTAGTTAACTTTTTTAGATGTTGCACATGATAAAAATTTTTGTTGGAATGATTATAAGAAGACATACAATAATCAATTTGAGATTAGTCGAAGTGAATTGTAATGTGTAATAAACAGACGCGCACTAACATAATCGCTAGTTAGTATATAACATAAACCATTGTAAAAATAAAGCATTGTGAGATATTTTCAGATAACAATTATGTATAATTTACAATTTTCTATAATTTAACGTGTTTTAAGTGTTTATTGAAACATTTATTCACAAAAAAATCAATCAAAGTAAAAATTTTACAGTTTCTGTCTTATTTTAAATAGTAGAACACATAAATGAAAACGTGAAATATGCTGTGGAAATTATCATAATATATAATCCACCTACAGATCAATCTACAGATTCGGACCAACATAATAGATAATAGGATGTTATTGACATATACATATATACATACATGTTCGACAATTGAGAATCAACGATGAATAAAATATAGCTATTATCTTTCTGCGATATTCATTGTATTAATTATCATAAATAATAAAGTAAAAAAATTTTGTAACTGCAACAATTTGAATTGGTGCAAAAGAATTAATAAATTATAAAATAAAAAAATTAATTAATTTTAAACTTTTTTTAACACTTTCAATATATGCAAAATATGACGTAATAAATTTGCCATCTATTAATATCTATTATTTTGAAACTTATATAATCGATAGTGTGTTGCATTTGTATAAGTTGGCATTTGTATAAATATGTATGTTAATAAAAGACAATGATTTTTATATTTTCAAATATACATAATTTTTTTGTATTGAAGGAAACGATAAAAGCGTATAATATTATATATAAATACATGGAAAATGGTGAAATTTAAAAGAATAAAACAAATTTGAATAATATATTATTTTAATTAAACTTAATTGATAAACAAAAACAATAAATAAATAAATAATGATAATAAAATAAATTATAAATTAATTATTTACCACATTCTATCTTTCAAGCGCATAGAAGAAAAGATAAATTTGCTAGTTCTAAATTACATTTTCTGCGCATGCCGCGGCAAGTCCTTATACTTATATCTTAGTGAAAACAAGCAATAATGCTTTAAAATTTGAGGTCAAATTTTATAATAAAGAACAGACCGTCTGTATCGTGGAAAACATCTCTCGTGTACATCAAACACACATCTGTGCTCTTTGTAATCAGCAGACTCATTTCGTGTACTGCGAAAAGCAAGGAATTAATTACGCGAATAGTATATTGCAATCACTTTAATTTACATCCTTTCTTGTGTTTTGTTTCTCATAATGTCTGATTGTAAGATAATGTGTTTACCAGATGAGATAATAGCCATCATTCTCAGCTATAACGTTATCACTATTGAGGATATCATTAACTTTCGATGCGTGTGCAAGCAATTTCGTTATGCAGCAACCACATATAACAAGTTCTTGGAAATAAAATTATCTCAAAGGTAATTTTTGTGGTTTGTAAATCTTTTTGTTATTTTGTCTCATTAACACCTGTCGCACAATGTATATCACATCTGCGAAAAACGTACATTATAAATAAATAATAAATAAAAAATATTCGAAAAATTAGATATGTTGCATATTAAATTATTCGCTTTTATTTTTTTCTATTGCTCAATAATTTTGACAAACTCTACCGTTATATACATATATAATAACATATACATATATATATATATATATGGAATGTAAACGTTAAATATAATATACTGATATAAATTCTTAATTTTCGGCTGTCAAAAATTAAAAGACTAAATATTTTTCGACCGATACTGGCCAAATGATGTTTATTTAATTAATCACACAAAGTTTCGACCACAATGTTTTGACCATAATTTTGGTGTACTTCGCACACTTGACGTTACACTTGAGAACGACAGAAATTCTAGGAAACGTTGTGTGATTAATTAAATAGATATTAATTGGCCTGTATCGGTCGGAAAAGATTTAATCATTAAATAATTTCTTTTAGATTTTTAATTACTAAAAATGTAACGTAAAATCAACTTTGCTTATTTATTTTAATGTGTATTCTTACAACTAAATATATTGAAGAATACACAGTATTTTAAAAATAAAGTTTAAAATCTTGGCCGTGTCCAAGTAAAATTTGGTGCCTTGTGCACCGGTATTTAATTCTAAACGAAAGATTATTTAGTTTCGTTAGGATAACGCATTGTCATCCGCGATTTGGCTCTTGTTGCCCGTCTTATACGTTAATTTAAAAATAAAGATTATGTTTTTGATATATATTCGTGATTGAAACAAACAAAATTGATATTTTTTTATCGGTTTTTTAAATAAATAATTGAAATCATAATAAAATCTTCATAAAAGTAAAAGCATGCCAAGTAACATTTATAAACACAGTCAACATTGTATGTAAATATGCTTTCGGAAAAATTGTTCTGAAAATAATTTAAAAAAAATTTTAATATATACACACACGCACATTAATGTTTATTAATAATATGTAGAATACACATATAGAATTACGATTAAAAATATCAATTTTGTTTGTTTCAATCACGAATATATATCAAAAACATAATCTTTATTTTTAAATTAACGTATAAGACGGGCAACAAGAGCCAAATCGCGGATGACAATGCGTTATCCTAACGAAACTAAATAATCTTTCGTTTAGAATTAAATACCGGTGCACAAGGCACCAATTTTACTTGGACACGGCCAAGATTTTAAACTTTATTTTAAAATACTATGTATTCTTCAATATATTTAGTTGTAAGAATACACACACGCACATTAATGTTTATTAATAATATGTAGAATACACATATAGAATTACGCAATATACATATAAAAGTTAAAATTTGAAAATATAATTTTAATATACTTTTAGGAATATGTAGTTCAAAAATAAATGTTTACATGGATAATTACAAATTTAAATTGAATATTATATATTTTATTTTTCTGATTAAAGTATAAAAAGAAGTGACATACATGTACTCATGCTTTGAATTGTATACTTCAAAAAATTTATTAATTTGAAAATTACTTGTGCAATCACATTGTTTTACTATCATCAAAGTTTGCTATGTGTTATCTAAATAAAATTAAATGAAAGGACTATGGCGTCATCTTATCTGCATATAAATAGTAAAAATATAAATTATCTTTATATCTGCATTTTAGATGAAAAATTATTATCTTTACTATATAATTTATCTAGAACAATTTTTAGATCATTTTGGTGTAGAGTCATTGCACTTAAAAATACTTAAACTAAACAGTAAAGCGATAAAAATATATAAATAAAAATATAAATACATATATTATTGTATTCCTTTTATAATTTATGTGTTTTGTATAACTGTGTTTACGTAAGCAATCTTAAATATTATTATCTAAACAATTATCTAGATATATCGCCATATAAATATATATTTTGTCTAGATATACTTAAAACAAAATCATCTTTATCCTATCTAAAATGAATTACATACTTTTATCTCTCATCTTTATCTAGCTAATTTTAAAATAATCTTGACACAACACTAAGTATCATTATCAAAAATTTATTACAATATTTTATGGTCGTATTTTAGATGGCCTTATGCAAAGAAAAAATATGAAAGTCTTAAGGAAACAACAGATAGAAAAACATAAACTTTGTTACAGAAGGCATAATATCTGTGATTCAATTGCGAAATGATTTGTCTCTAATTCTTTTTTACGATTATTATTACAATAATAGGGCAAATCAAAATTACTTCGACTTAATTGCTAATGTATTAACATTCGAAAATGTCATGAAATTCAGCGGTAATATCGATGAATATAGAAATCAATTTACTGTTCCTAAAAGTACACATGACCATATAGATGTGCTAAAAATATGTTTTATATTGAGGAGTTTAAATTCTTGTTAACACAATTTCCACAGTAGGATCTTCATATATATTATAATGCTACTATTATTACAATTTAATGTATTTATTCATTAGTTAATAATTCAATATATACAAATTTTTTAGAGGAATTGATCGCAAATCAATCGAAGAATATTGCAATATAGAAATGTCTCACTATGAAAAGCTATCTTGGATACGAAATGAGTTAGACAGATATAGTGTGAAACCTGAAGAACAGCTTTTGGAAGAAATTTGTACTTTCATAGCACAACGTATTCAACCTCGAAAAGATGTATGTTACACGAATATAAGTGCATCATTGGATACAATCGCACAAGAGGTACTGAATTCTCTTAGAAAGAAGCATCCGAACCATTCGATATTCTTCACTTCTGATGAAACTTTTTCTTATTGGAAAACCAACAATATCGAAGATAATCATTGGAATGAAACAGAAAGCACGCAGATTATGGATACACTCCAGGAATATATATTTGGCACTTTGAATTTTCGACCATGTATCTCCTCACCCGAAAATATCAAATATTTGTGTATAGATTATGTAAGATATTATAGATTATAATACATATATAATTATGGACCATATATGTTTATGTTATATGTTGTTCTTAATATTCTGTCGCTTTGATTAATTTATCCTGTATTATACCTGGCATAGGTTTTACAAAGTAAATTTGGTAAAGATATCATTGTATATACAATATTTCATAGCGTGGCTAGAAGACTTGGTCTACGTTGCGATGTACGAGTACTACATATTATCGATAATTTCGATATATTTTGGAAACCAAAATTGTAAGTATAGATATATATTAGAATCGACATTATTATTATTTCTCAATAATCTTCCTTTTTTTTTATTATACGCATGCATATATAATTTTTTATTATAAAAATGTTCATAATGATTAAAGTAATATTTTAATTGTTTACAGCGTCACGGATAATTTAGAAAATGCACGAAAATTTTACATAAAATACAAGAATTACCCGAATTGTCTTACTGATAATCGATCATTAATTTGGGGACGAGTCTTAACAACTAGAAAGGTTGAAAATTACTTATTTAAATTACACTAAATATGTATAGAAAGAAGAGAAATGTGCAATTTCTCATTTTCTAATTTATAATTACATTTTTGTTTACATGTCGTCTTTATATTCATGTTTAATTTTTTTAAATGTTGGTGTATACAACAAATATCGTTGACGCATTTATAAGGGCACATATATATATAATAAGAAAATGGCTTTTATATGAAGATAATTAAATAGAGCATTATATAAAATCTTCTGATATGATTAAAATGTATTGTATGTTTTGTAATCATATTATGATGATAGGGTATTATGAATGCAAGTTATATATACATATGATGCAAAATGTGAGTAATTATATTAATTTGAGCATATTTATATATACTCATAATGACGTATTTTGCAAACAGTTTCAAGATATCATAATATGTCCGTGTTTTGAGTAGTATATGAGCCTGCATCTGTGTCTATTTTTGTCATCATGTTTTAAGAAATATGAGTACAATATGAGTAAAGTACATCCGCGCACTAACAATCGCATATTAGTATATAATATATACAATTGTAAAAATATTGAACATTGTGAGATTCTTTTAGATAACAATTCTTTTACATAACAATATGTATAATTTACAATTTTTTATAAATTAACGTGATTTAGTGTTTATTGAAACATTTATTCACAAAAAAATCAATTAAAGTACAAATTTTACAGTTTGTGTCTTAGATTTTGTTTTAAATAGTAACACAAATAAATAAAAACGTAAAATATGCCATAGTTGCATGGACCAACATAATAGACAGATGTTATATTGACGCATATATATGTACATACATATATATGTTCGACTTTTGTAGAGAAATACTATGCCCTATTTTTGTATGCAATGTCAATTGAGAATCAACGACGAATAAAATGTATTTATCGTTCTCTACTATATTTATTGTATTTATTAATATAAACAATAAAATTAGAAAAATTGTGATTGCAAGAATTTGAATTGGTGCAGTAAAATTTATAAATTTAAAAATGTTTAAAAATTAATTAATTTATGAACTTCTTTTTAATACTTCAAGTATATGCAAAATATGACATAATTAAAATTTACCATTTATTAATATCTAATATTTTGAAACTTTTATAAACGATAGTGTTGCATTTGTATAAGTAAAAACAGGTATATTAATAAAAGACAATGATTATTATGTTTTGAAATATATATAATACTTTTAAGTTGAAGAAGACAATAAAAACGTATTAATGATATTAGATTTTGTATGATATATTGTATGATAATTGCAGATTTTAAAAATTTGTGCAAGATTCAAGCAAGACTTTAAAATTTGACTAATTCCAACAAGTTATATCTTCCTTTTATGTAGAGGATATCTTCAATGGATGAGGCATTAGTTTAAGAAACATAACGAACAACGTTAAATATAAATTAAAATATATTAAAATGTGGTAATTGTACAAAGACTTATACAAAAAAAAATTTTTTTATATATCTGAAAATATAAAAAACACATAATTGAGGAACACATGCTTAGTGATGAGACAGCAAATATACTCCGCATTTGGGCACAGAACACATTTAATGTCATTAAAATGTGACACTTTAATTTCCGTTTCTTTGAAACTTCTGTTAGAACATTCATCTTATATTTTATTTTTCAAAAATAAATTTATTAATTTTACAAATATGTTTCTTCAGTGATCGAGCGATTTAAACAATATATAATCTTCTACATCACGGTATATAATAATTTACACCCCGTATATACGCGCGAGTAAACTACATAAAATTGTCGAAATTCTTAAATATTACACATTATTTATTAAAAAGAACGAAAGATAAACAGAAAGAAAGAGAGGAAGAAAGATTGAAATATATTTCATATTATAAATAATGTCTTAACAATACTAATAATTCATATAAATATTTGTATTTATAAATTGAAATAAGTTTTAACAAATTTAATTGAATTAAAATTAATAATCTGAACATTAATTTAAATGTCTGTGCTGTATTTTTTAAATTTATAAATTCATTCTTTGATTTTATTATGCGGCGCATTTGTCATGATGTAAAATCTTTTAACTAATTTCGTTAGACAATCAAAAGAAGAACATAAATTTAATGGAATAAAAATCATAACAAAGTTTAACATAACTATTAACGAAGAATGTTTTCATCGTATCAATTATGCAGAGGATCTCTTCAATGGATGTAGCATTATTTTAGAAGGTATAACAAACAACGTGGAGGATGCGATATCTGTGATGAAAAATTACATCCTATTATCTATCGATACATATGTGATATATCATATAAAAATAAAGCATAAAGAAATTTATACATAATGTTTTAAGTGTGCGGCCTTCTTATTCTATATCAGGAAATATATTAAAATCAGATAATTGTACAAACACTTATACCAAAATATTTTATATATCTGAAAATATAAAAAAACATAATTGAAACACACATGCTTAGAACAGCAAATATACTCCACACTTGGATATAAAACACATTTAAGGTCATTCTGAAACGCAAAATTTAATAAGATAAATAATTCTTTTAAATTAATATGATATTTATTTTAATTTTTTTTATAATATCTCTGCATCTCTTCAAAAGCTACCAAAAGAGTAAATGAAAAACCGATAAATATAAATATTATTATTTAGTTTTTTTTAGTGATTAATATAAACTTTTGAAAAATAAATGAACAAATATACTTAATGAATAAGAAAGTTGGTCTCGAAATAAACAAGGGTATGCGAACCGAAGGCGAAGGTTTGTGCGTTAGATAAGAAAAATTAATTTTTCCCCTATGTCTTATAATTGTGCACGAAGAACGGAATTTGCATAGTGCTAACAATAAGATTATTTAGGAATAAATCTCAACTTGGTTCTCAATTTTAGAATATCTATTTTAATTCCTAAGTTCCCGATTCAGCAACTTCTGGACCGATATATTTTGCTTTTCTACATCTTTTTAAGGGGATCAGAGGGAAACATAGTAACTAAAAAATCTAGAATTGAGATTTATTCACAAACATCCGCGTTGAGTTCGCATAGTCTGTACGATTATTCTGACGTATGGTAATTAAATCGAAAATTAGTTTTGCATTAATCCTTTCAAGAAAAATTGAATAATGTAAAATAGATATTTTCTATAGTCAAAGAGTGCATGATATATTGTCTTCCTGTCACTTATGCTTTAATTGCATTTGCTAATCTTTACAGTCTCCTTTTCGGAGAATCGAGGATAAATACGCTTGTTGTTTTTTCTCTTAATAGTAAATTGAAGAGAGATTCCGGACCGCATTTCGAGAACAGTATATCCGATACCGACAGGCTTCTTTTACAGAAGGACGAAGAGATAGGAACGATATTATTAGTTTATTTAATTAAAATATATAATTATTTATATAATTATTTATACAAGATATTAAAAAATTAGACCGATAAAAAAATAAACGTAATAAAAAAAATACTAAAGATTTTATCAAGCTTTACGAGATTATATGTCAGTACGGAAACCCGGTAAAAATTTTTTATATATAATTATATATAAATAATTGTATAATTATACATATAATCGTAAAAATTTATTTGGTTTAGAAAATATATTACGAGAAGTGCCGCAGAAAATTTATCTTGATCGGAAAACGTGAAAAGTCGAAGACTAACAGCAACGAAGACATAACAATTGTGACTACAAGAAATTCAAGCTTACCCTCGACTCGTTCAATTCTCAGAAGCAGCCCGAGCTCGGCCACGAAGACCACCTGCTTATCGCCGATTCTCTCTTCACACTCTATTCGCACAAACTCAAGCACACTCGCGACGCGATACACACGTACCGTTTTAAAATTTTACGACTCGGGAAAAAAAACCTTCATTCTAGGCGAAGAATTTACGAAAATACACTAAACACGCGATTCTCGGGTTCGCGCAAATCCACGGTGAGATTGTCAACATGTTTTGCAGCGATTGTAGAGTATTTAAAAACGAGTCTGCGAACAAATTTAATAAAAACTTTTCTGATATGTTTTTCCGATTTTATACTCGCTCGCAGGCAATATTTATTTTCAATAGTTTAATTAGTTTTATTAATACGTACGCGCCGCTTCTCAGTCCTTCGCGAAAACAAATATATGTGATATTCTTCCTTGTTTTCACTCGGCGCGTCTTTATCGCGACTGCGTTTTAGCAATAATAAGGTGTCGCTTAAATCGACGAAATTCGCGGCAAACTTCACTTATTCCTACTTGCGAGGAAGCGTCCAATTTCTGAAATTATTCCGAGCTCCGCCGCGACGATTGTCTATGTATCCTTGTAGACAATCATTTATTCCGACGCACAATACACATATACACTCGCGATGCATTACGCGTTTGCGTAGCTTGAAAAAAACTTCACTCAACGACGAACGACTTTCTCGCTCCTTTTCGCGACTGCGCGATTTTCACGTTTGACACGTGGCACCACTGACAGCTACTCGCGCACTTTCCGGTTGCACTGTTGAGAACACTGACTACGGTACGCGGCGCACACGTCGCGTTTGAAAAAGTTTACTTTCAACTTTATTAACGAAACCCGCGACGTATTTTCACATCGTTCCGATCGCGATTCGATCGACATATCAATCGTCACGCGTGTCCCGTACTTCCGCACGCGTCTGTCACTCGACTCGCGACAAAATACACGACAGATGCGAGAAAACGCGCGACGCGCGCGAGATTGTCCGACCGCGGCGGTAGCTCGACTCGAACTGCGCAGTCGCGCGCTGTCAGCTATCAGCGCGGCCAAGGTTATCGCACGCAGCACGTACGGAGCGCGCGCCTTAATGTTAATTTATAAATACGAATATTTATACGAATTATTAGTATTGTTACGACATTATTTATACTATGAAATATATTTCAATCCTTCTTTCTCTCTCCCTCCCTGTCTATCTTTATTTCTTTTTAATAAATAATGTACATATTTGAAGAATATTCGACAATTTTATGTGGTTTTACTCGCGCGTATATACGGGGTGGAAACAAT